TCCCACGACGGATAAAGAAAAGCCTTCCGACCCGAGCAAGGAGAAGAAGTAGTCTCAGCAACGACTTGTAGGATGATGGACGTGTGTAATGTTTGTAATGTATGCTCTCTAGACGTGAGCTGGTTTGGCCTGATGTATGGATGACGATAAAGCCCCGCTCCGATAGACAGACTCTTCTCTTTTGCTTTTGGGTCGGGCTAGAATTATGAAGTTCCATTCCGCCTGATGACGAATTGGTGGTTTTGTTCAATGTGGCCAGAATTGGGAGGGCCATAACACCTTACGTAGCCTCGGTAGCCGAATACATGTGGAAGCCGTGGGCCCGAAGGGCCGGTAGGCATCCACAGATACACATCAACCCGAATGCCAACGCAACCCGGCGAGCGGTATCCTTGGAAAAGGGGCTCCGTAACCTAGGCACGAGCGACCCCCACTGCCGTGAGGTCTCGTCCGCGTCGTCGTCGGCCTCGCAGAAGAAATCGTACTCCTCGCCCTCGTGCTCCTTCCAGTGCGCCGCCCGAATATGGACTTTTGGCTGCTTCTTCTGCTGCTGCTGCTTCTGGGACGGCGGCCATGGTGGCTGGTTCGAGGTAGCCATGACGATGAGGCCCCTCGCCGCGACCTCGTCTTGACGATCGCACTCTGCGAGGATATCGAGGATCTCGTCCCTCGTGTACATTGTGCTCTCCCGCGTCAGGGCTTCTGACTTCCAGGCCATGGCGGCCTTGTGGCGGAGGAGTCTCTGGGTCGGGCTCACGTCGCCGCGGCCCTGCTGGCGTCTCTTTTCGCGTAGTTTTTGGCACCGTTGCGGTGCGATGGCGTGTACGTCTGGGTTTAGGGGTGAGGGCACGAGGGGGCTGTAGCCTGCCCGGCTTGGTAGTTGTGACATTTGAAGCATTTTTGTTGTGCTTGTTGTATTGGTGCCTTCTTTTCGTCTTCTTCCTCTTTTAGGCGTGTCTAATCCGTGTAGTACTATTTTGTTGTTCGTCTAGAGCACGTACAATTAGGCGTGTAGTTAGGGCGACTTGATCGGTTCAGAAAGTTGTGGGTTCTTTAGTTTCTGTGGGAAGAAGAAGACGTGGGTCGCTTTCGAGAAGGTGTTGGTGAATAATTAACTTCCTGTCCTTGACATGGCTGTTGTGAAGGAGGATTGTGATTGCTCCGGGATGAGGGAGGGGGGGAGGAAGACCAATGTCAATAATGGAGGCGAATCGAAAAAAAGTGCGAATTGGTATGCTGGTATGGTGGTGAGGAGATAGCCCGAGATATGAGAGATATGGAGCTGGGCGCCCGTCTGGAATGTCTCTGGAGGGAACTAGACACGAGAGGGATGGACCCGACGTTCCTCCCTGGTGTCAGTTGCGAGATTTCGCCCTGTTAACTGCAATGTTCCACACGATTTGGCGATTGGATGTGATAAGCCCAGGTATTCAGTCAAAAGGTAAGGTAGAAAGAGAGACAAGCAGGCACAAACATAAAAAAAAAACGAGAGGATGAATGTGACTGGGAACTTTGCGAGAAGGAGTCACAAATTCAAGCGCGGGCATGTCGGGTGTGCCAACTGATATGGGAATTAAAAACCATGGCGGAATCGGCATGCAGGTAATTATCTCTCTCGCCATCTATCTCTTTCCCTTGCTGCATACAGCACGCCACGCTCTTTCTCGCTCGCCGTCCGTTCCCCCGATTCCCTCCGTGAGCCGTGGGACCGTGTGGCCCGTAAGCGTGAAGGTACCTCCCCCAGAACACCATGGGGCGTGCGTGTGTGGCCCTCTCGTCCCGTTCTCCCCCAGGTTGGGGTTAGAGTGGAGAGGCATTCTCCACTTGCCTAAAGCGGCCGCTTGGGCACAGGAAAACGAGTCTTCATCGGCCAATGGCAAGAGGCCGCCAAAAGATGACCCAAGAGGACCAGAGGTTGCGGCAACGTAATACGGTAGAGGGGACTCGGAGGATAGTGCCTAGGCCCAGGCCTTTCCTCTCTCTCTCTCTCTCTCTCTATTCTGTTTCTGGCTGGCAGCTGTTGGAGCGACTGCGTTGCGAAAAGCGTTGACTTGGCATGCTTGCGTGCCTTGGTCGATCCATCGGTCGGCCGGTGGTAAGTGGGCGTGGGCTCCGGGCGTCCGAGCTTTTGTACTTTCACTGTCTTGGGAACTTATTCGTCGTCTAAATGGTCTTTAGACCACGGGCCGCCGCCCGCGGAAGAGGGTCGGACGGGGTCTTCCAACCACAAGCAGCACCACGCAGGGAGAATGTTGAGGGAACTAGTTTTCGAGCTTCGTACCTAGCATTGGTAGGAGAGAGCGAGCTGGGTGAGGGTGGTGTGCTTTTCGCCATCGGGGTTGCTCTCGACCACACATTACGTGCTGTGTACTCCCCCGAGGGGGCGTAGTAGATACTTGGATGCCACACTATGCGTTGCCCAATGTAAGGTACCTCACATGGAAACCTGAAGAAATGGGGGTCAGCAAAACCTCGGTGCGAAAAATCAGCTCTGGAATCTGTGATAATCTTTTATCCCGTCCTCCACAACGACCAACGGCACGCATAACATTCCCCCGAGCCCTGTTGCCCTTCCAGTGAATCCAGTCAAGCAAAGCAAAGCGCGCAAGCCACCGAGGCTTGCTGCTTTCCCATATATTCGGCTCTAAGGTAGATATCATCCCGCCGGACACGCCACTAATGTTCGCCACAGTAGGCACGCAGAGAACGAAAATTCCGTTTTCAACCCTTGTCAGATGTAAATTGTTCCAATTATTTTGTTTTCCTTGATTTTGTTGCTGCGCCTCGATCCCGTACTTATTTGCTAATGCCAATCTGTTTCTTGTAAAGAAAAGGTGCGCATAAGTAGACGACAAACTTGGCTCAGCTTTACCTTGTGGAATTCGGACTTGTTTTTCAATACGCAAATAGCGTGATAACTTGATAGCTCTTCAGAACCGTGCATTTTCAGAGTAGGTACTTGGGCAACATGAGATCGAAAAGGGCCTTTTATTGGTTCACTTTTCTTTTCCCCTTCTTTCTCGACGATAACCGTGATAATGGTGTCTTATCTCCCTCACCCCAACCCCTCTATCGCAGGCGTGCACGTCCTAAAAGAAGCCCTTGCACCAAGTAAAAACGAAAAATTGCATGTTGCCATCATCCCTGCCTTCCAGTCCGGGGCGAAGGATTTCCAGGGATCGCAATCGCAAGTCTGTGTGTATTATCCGTAATTCTGCCCTGAACTTGGTATTCGTACTCCGCAAGTACCGACAGAGTCCGAAAAAAAAGGCCAAGAGAGATCATCGCCGTTCAAATACCTCAATCTGCAGCGCGGCATCATTGGGGGAAAGAAGAAGAACGGCAGACGTCGCTAAAGGTACTAATTCAACAGTCCACTTCAGAGCGTCCTCAACGATTACCTCAGTCAAGTCAACAGAGGCATTATCAAAACCTCGCGAATGATAGGAAAAATATGGAGCCCGCCTCAGCGGGAAGGCAGCTGGCTGACGGGAGGGGAGGGGAGGATGGATGCGCCCGTCTCTTTCTCCAGCAGCACCATCCTTGTCTCTTTTTCTCTCCCGGCTTCCATCCGCGCATGCCTCTCTATCTTCTCTCACTAAGGTACCAAAGGTATGTAGGTATCTAATCGCACATTAGGTCTAAGGTGCGATGTCTCCCTCGGCTCCCTGTGGGGTGAGGGGAGTTTGCGAACATGCCATTTACAGCCACGATTGCTTTTTTGGACCCGTGCCAGCTTTCTATGGCGCGGCATCGGGCTTGACGGGAAATTTGCGTGTTTGTGATGAATGTCTCGTCTGCTACTTCACCCCAGCACCCCGGCAGGAAGTTATCGTGGCTGGAGTGTTTAGTAGCTTAGGATGGGTATATGTAGCGTGAGGGTCTCAAGGATTGTATCTGCGATTGATACTACTCTTCTATGGCTATATTGAAGGTTCTGAATGTTCCTGCGTCCTACAGCTATCTCGTCGTCTATCAAATCTCTGTTATGCTACATGGATTCTCAAAATGTGATGACAAAAAACAGTCAAGACTACAGATGACTTTAGTTTCAACGAGTCTTGTATTCATTACTCTTGGCGTTCTTGATTCATGCGAGCTATTACCTTCCCTACGCGCATCTTGGTATCCTCTTCGATTGTGTGCACCTGTATCTCTCGATACGGTACGGTACGAGGCTAACGTGAGAAGACTTGGGGTCAAAAGGTCGAACCCATCTGATGCTCATGTCTGTCGTTTTCTGTTCTTCCTTATTCATCTACACGTCCTTCTCCTCTTCACCGTGGCGATGTATCACCTCCTAACACAAGCTGCCACCTCTCCAACCATCGCTTCCAACCAGAAATTGTTTGCATCGATAGACTGATAGTCGAGGTGCGTACCCTCTGCCCACTTATCACGCGCCTCTTCAGACACATAGGCTTAAGTCTCTCTAGGACGTCATCTACACGATATTGGCGGACAACAGCGGCTTACCAAAGGGATCATGACGTTGGGGAACCAAGCCATTTCTTCCCTTAGGACTAATCAATGGCACTGTTAATAGCCATGCAACTAATACGCATTCGTGGTTCATGATACTATCCTCGTCCTCCACTACCCTTCTCCACCCAAACCATACAAAGATCACACAGCTTGGAACCGAGCATCACAACAGCAGAACAGAGGACAACTCTAGGAAGATAGAGTTTGGTATGTGTGGTCATCAATCCCGTAAAGCCTCTATTTTTTGTCACAATAAAAACTTTTGACTACCTTGACCCACAGGGCCGCAACGCCTGTCCCTCTAGCAGCAAGCAGCCCGAGCCATCGTACCCGAATCCCGTAGGATATCCGGGGGTAAACCAAGAAAAGAAACATGGAAAAACACACGCGGCATTATAGGTATAAGCGTGGAGAATTTTGCAAAGCGTCGTCCCAAGATGTTGGGATCTGGTGGTGTGGTGATGTACGTGGAAATCGCGCAGGTGACGGTGATTTGGACCCCGGATGATGCCATATCAGTTCGCGGCGGCGGATTGAGGAGTCGAGACTTCGGATTCTCCACCACCACCACCGTCACCGCCTCCTCCGCTCGTGGCCGCAGCGACGGCTGGATTGGCAGCTACTTCAGCAATCCGAGGCTTTTTTGCTGCGCGGCCAGAGTCAGAGAGGTCCAGGGCATCTCTGGCATCCTTCAGCTCCAGCTCCATCTCGTCGAGACGCCGCTTGAGGTTGTTTTCTCTGCGATGGCTCTCATCCAATTGCTTCTTACTGCTCTCGAGCTGAGCCCGCAGCTGGGCTTCCGCCTTGCCGCTAATCTCCTGCCCTCTTCTTGCGCTTGCTTCGTCTTGCTCCATTTGGCTGAGTCGACCGCGGAAGAGTTCGTTGATGAGTTCCAGTTCGCTAACCCGGGTTTTGAGGGCGGAATTGGCGGCAATGAGCTGCTCATGTGTTTGCGGGACGTCAAGGTGTCGGTCACCATTCAGGGGGGAGCCCGAGCGGTTGTCCGTCCCAGAGACATTGAAGCCCTGCAGTCCAGCCTGAAGCTGCGCATCGTCCATGCCCTGGAAGACTGGGAGGCTAGGGTTGTATAGAGAAGGGGTCGCGGTACGAGAAACGGGGGAGTCAGAGCCGTCCGGATTGCCGTTTGACTTTTGCGACTGTCTGCGCTGGTTCTGCCCATGGATGTCGAGGCCATTCGGATCGTTTGCGCCAAACTGATGAGCTTGTTGTTGCTGCTGCTGTTGCTAGGCGCATTATTAGCCAAAGCTAGGCAATGTATATGGATCACGTACCTTCTTCTTAGACGCAAGATCAGGGCGCATCGTCTTCACGCGGTTTCGGCTCTTGATCACGTCGGTCTTGAGCGAGATCGGACGCGGACGACCCTAATACCGATTTAGCTCGTCTGTGTATGAAAAGAATGCGATACACTTACATGCAACTTGAGGAAAAGTCCGCATGCATTGCAGAGGACTGATCCGTACTCATCGCGCCGCCACAAGGGCGTGGTTGAGGTCTGGCAGTTTTGGCATGTCGGCTGCGTAGATTCGTTAGCTTGGGTAGCCATCATGATGCGCAACGCCAGCGAAATTGTCGCAAAAGATTTCGTCAAGGACTTGTAGATATGTGCTCCAAAAGAAATGCGAAAATAATGTGACTATTTGCTTGTTCGTGGTGCTTGACGGGGTGAAGCGCGCGATGAGAGTTGGGACTCTGGCCTTGGTGTTGACGACTATCGCTGCATGGGAACAAGAAAACTTATCTGTGGAGCAAAGATAAGACAGGGAAGGAACGACCGCGGCCAGTTGCAGCCCCACACCTGCCTTGCAGGGTTCATTGGTTCTTAGATAACAGCAATACCTGAACGGTAATTGCGATAACACTAACGCAGGAGATGGGGGAGTTTTTTTTGGGGTTCGGGATTGGGCTCGATGATAAGATACCCGCGATGGTATCCGTACAAGGTGGGATAAGGGAAGGTAAATGCACACATACCGTGGTGGATCCTCCGCCAGAAGCGTAAGTCGGTGTCGGCGCGGGAGCTGGCGCGGGCGCGGGCGCCTGAGTCGGTGTGGAGGCGGCAACGGGAGCGGGCGCGGGAATCGCTTCTCTGTGGATCAAAGTCAGCACATGAAGCTCTCGTCACTTTCTTGGTCACATCTTCCATCCCATCTCGACTGTCTCTTCCCCCACTGAAACCAGACTGTGGATAAGCCAATGATATAGCAGCAGAGGGAGATCTCTCGATGGAGCGCAATGGCTGCATCGCCTACTTTGTCGCCGAAATGGCTCCAAAGTTGTTCAGCGAGCGCACGAGTAGCGCAAGTGAATTGTGACCATCAAGCTGACGGCCCGTCGTGTCCCTCTGCGCATTCCTCGTCTCTTCTCCTGACACCAAGCATACTCACGTACCGCATCTGAGGCGAGCTCGTCGCAGAGTTGTTGGCCTGGGCAAGCGCTGAAATGCCTGGCAACTGGGGAACCGTCGAGGCCGCGGCTACAACCGCGGCTGCGGATGCGGATTCCGACGTCGACGTGGAACTGGGCCGCGAGATCGTCTCGAGGTTCGTTTGCGGCAACGCAAGGGTGGCAAGAGCCGTGGCTTCCTCCATGACGTCTCGAAAGGAGGGGAGATCGTGATCGTGATCGTGCTCTGTAATGTTGTCCAATGCCGGAGCAGGCGCAGAAGGCTCTCGAACGGCAGCCAGGATGGCGGTTGCAGCGAAATCGTCGCGGACGGGAGGACTATGTCGAAGGAGGGAGGATATCGAATGCCACTTCGCGATCGCAAGGCGCGCGTGTGGTGCAGTCGCAAGTTTTTCGCAAGAGACCCAAGTACAAGGCTCAAAAAAGTGGCTTGCGAGGAGAATTCGGGTCTAGGCGCGAAGTTGAGGTTGCGAGACGTGTGTGTTTGTGTGCAGTCAGGCCGTGGGTGGTAGATGGCAGGTACAAATACGTAGGAGTGCGAAAAAAAATTGTTCAGCGGGAAGACGCGCTGGAGGCGACTCAGAAAGGAGCAAATGGTTGAGTTGGAGGGGGGAGACAGGTACGTTCCCTACCTTAGGACAGAATTGCGGGGAGGAGACTAAGGTTACAAGGTAAAGCTACAGCCAGATCTCAGACATTACGAAGGCACGTTGGACACAAAAGCTGGTTGACTTTTGGAATAGGGGAAAATAGATGGAATGGTGAACGGATTGATTTCATGCCGCATCCCCTTAATCGATCAGGATGGAGGGCCAAATTTACTGGGGATGGGGATGGACGGGACGCGATAACTGCCAACTGAGCCTATCGGCGATACTGATTACCCAGCTGGTAGTCCCACTGGACCGTATTACGGAAGCCGCGATTTGATTGGATCGGCTACCCCATTCAGCCTTACAGCACGCGCTGTGTTGATGTGTCAGGATCTTGAAGTTTTCTCTCCCTGATCATCAGAAAGAGTAGGTAGGTAATACTTGGGGGGGTCGCAACGGCCCCAGTACCCGCAAGCATAAGCGTTGGAAGAAGGTTCGTTGTTATCTACTATGAAGATCTCACGGCAACGCCGACCCTTAGGTAGGGTGGTACGGACAAACTTTGCAGATTCCCGATTTGGAGCGCCGGTGAGAGAACCTCGAAAACTTGGACACATACGTGCGATCGATCACTCTGCTCGGATGGATTTGGCATTCAGAGTGACATGCCACAACAGTGCTCGCCAGAATCCTAACGCTACCGGTCAACTGGACCCCAGTGGTGGCTCTCACAAAGATCTAAGGGTTCGCAACTAAGCAGCAACTTTGAAAGCAGTAGCCCTGAATTAATTAGACACGTCGGTCCAATGCGCATTCCCGACATACCACTAACTTGCAGCTGCATTCAAATCGCATAAGTTGTCAAGGTTAAAGCCACTACCATTGATACCGTCACTGTTCTCCCACGATGTGAAATGGGCCGGCTTCACCTTGAGGATGCCGGACTCGGCCCCATAAAAACCGGTGTACCCCACGTGCCGTCGCCAGCGTTATCGATAAGAAAAAGTTCGCCGCAGCCACCAGTAGGTAAGTAACTACGAAACTTTTCTCGTATACAATTCGGCGTCAACTCCACTGTCTTGCAAACACGCGACAACCGACAAGATGCCCTCCACATACAAGAAGGACAAGCCGTGGGACACGGACGACATCGACAAATGGAAAATCGACGCCTTTACACCGGCCGACAATGCCGGCGGCACATTCGCTGAGGAATCCTCCTTCCAGATCGTCTTCCCCAAGTACCGCGAAGTGTACCTCAAGGAGGCATGGCCTCTCGTCACAAAGGCTCTCGAGAAGACGGGCATCGCATGCTCGCTCGACTTGATTGAGGGTTCAATGACCGTCAAGACGACAAGGTTCGTATTTCAATTTGCAATCCTCTTCCTCAATACTCAGCCCACTCCATCACAGTGACTGACATGCTGCTCTTTGCCTCCAGAAAAACATTTGACCCCGCCGCAATCCTTAACGCCCGCGACCTCATCAAGCTCCTGGCCCGAAGTGTCCCCGCGCCGCAGGCTCTCAAGATCCTCGACGACGGCGTCGCATGCGATATCATCAAGATCCGCAACCTGGTCCGCAACAAGGAGCGCTACGTCAAGCGCCGCCAGCGCATCCTCGGCCCCAACGGCTCGACCCTCAAGGCCCTCGAGCTGCTCACCCAGACCTACATCCTCGTGCAGGGCAGCACCGTCTCCGTCATGGGGCCCTACAAGGGCCTCAAGGAGGTGCGCCGCGTCGTCCAGGACTGCATGGAGAACATCCACCCCATCTACCACGTCAAGGAGCTCATGATCAAGCGCGAGCTCGCAAAGGACCCCGAGCTCGCCGAGGAGAGCTGGGACCGCTTCCTGCCTAATTTTAAGAAGAAGTCGCTCAGCCGCCGCCGCGTGCCGCACAACGTCACGGACAAGACCAAAAAGGTCTACACGCCCTTCCCGCCCGCGCCCGAGAAGAGCAAGGTCGACAAGCAGATCGAGACGGGCGAGTACTTTTTGGGCAAGGAGGCCAAGAACAAGGCCGCGCAGGCCGAGCGCTTGGAGCAGCAGAAGCAGAAGAAGGAGGAGAAGTTGCGCGAGAGGGAAAAGGACTTTATACCCCCCGAAGAGCTCGGCCACAAGAGGAAGAAGAGAAAGAAGAGCGAGGACGACGAGTGAGGGGTGAGGGGAACGTGGGACGTAGAGAAGGCGGAAGAAATTGTGTAGACTGGGACAGGTGTCTGTTGCATCTTTGCAGAAAAGGGGTCGCTACATACGTAGGTGAGATGTTAGCTCACTCAAGATACCCTTCCATGCAAGAGTTCAAGAGTCTTCTGACATGTCGGCGATCTACCCAGACTATACCCCCTGAAGGGCTGTAAATCAAAAGCGAAATGTCAATATAGGAAAAGGTCATGATGTGTAATGCAATTGTCTTGAGAAACTAAGGTGGTGTTCGCTACCTAAGCTGGGTGACCCAGTATTTACTCTATCTCCAACCTTTGTGTTTCCCCGGACAAGTTCTGCTCCTTTGGGGCCAATCCGAAATCATGACTTCCGTTGTTGAAGGCGTGCGATCGAGTTATCTGTCATGCAGAGGAACAAATTCCAGCATTCTACAGCCCCTGCAGACACCTGTACCGATCTGGCCTCAATTCTTCGGCTTCATCGAGCAGTCGAAGGTACGATGATAGTAGTAGCTAGCTGGGACAGGGCCACCCTCTGGCGATTCGGGATAGTAAATCTCCCATCCGGGGGCGTAGCTGTTGTAGTATTTGCCACCGTACCTAGTGTAAACTGTGTTAGTCTTCATCCAACAAGAAGCGACATAAAGTTTGGAGAGAACGAGCACTTACGCCATGTGAGGCCAGCGATCCTTATGGGCGAAGAAGAGGGTGACATAAGGAAGGGGGCTGCAAATTGGCTGCCAGTCGCCCCATTGAAAAGGAACGTTCTCTCCGAAAAGCTCGCAGGCGTTGTTGAAGACCCAGCCGCGACTAGGCCACTGTCTCCAGCCCGGCCAGTCGGCCTGGCACCAGATACCGAGCTGACAGTCGCCAACAATCGGGCTTGGAGTACACCAGTTTTGCGGGTCAGGGGGTTCCTTCTCGAGGTCGTAATTCTCGCCGCATCTTGGGACTCGCTTGCCGATGCTAGAGAGAGATTTGTCGTGCTGCTCAAGGTTGTACTCGACGGTCTCGCGCTTGCGATCGAGGCCGGCGGTCTTGACGAGGTGGGCCCAGATCTCTTTGTTGACGGGGATGATCTTGTGGCCATGTTTGAGGGCCTCCCCTTCGGTGATGTTGAGGGGGTTGTTGTGAGGGAATTCTTTGGGAGCGAGGTGAGGGCCAATGGAAATGTCGCGCTTGGAAAGACCGTTGCTAAAGGTGGCTTCAGGGGAAACGTCAATGGTGTTGAGATCTGCATTTCCACCTGCAGCGGCGACGACATTGACGTTCGCAAGGAACATCAAGGCCATGGCCGTGACAATGAACATGGCTTGATGCCACATCGTGAGAAGATTGTATACGCTGTACCAGTTGTATGAGTTTGCGAGCGACAAGCTTGATGTATTGCTGTGGTTGAGATGGGTGAGGGAGAGACAGGATTCTTTTCCTCTCTGTTGCAGGTGAAAGAAGAAGCTCGGAGAACAGAGAGAAGTATCTCCAAGAGGGGCCTTGTACCTGGCGTGAGGAAAGAGAGAAGGGTAGACAGGAAGAAGCCAGTGGCCAGGTTTGAATGTGAATATTCACCATTTCCAAGGCCACCCATCACGTGCGTATATTCACTGACTTACATGTAGTTTGACCAGACTCCTGATGAGGCCTATGCCAAGGGTGAGATAACCAACCAAACTCAAAGAACCAGATCAGGAAGGCACGACCCAACACGGACCGAAAGTCCTCTGAAAGATCCCATGACTGAGCTTGTGTTTGTGTGACCTCTCTTGAAAAACAGCGGAAAGGCCCAAACACATCTCGAGGGAAGTCCTTTAGGTAGACAGCAACTACGCCCCTCGAGAACGTAGGTCCTGCTGAGGACAGCAATATTCTTGAGGCTACACACCTGGTTGATGTGTTGGAGGATACAATGGGCTTGCCCAATCAGCTTGCCCTGTACGGCATAGACGTACGAGTTAATTGGGAGGTCTCTGAGATAGTGGTCAACCAAATGGAATGAATCATTGAAGACAGAGGACAATAGTTTCCTCGTGTAAGAGCACTTTCAATCCTTGTTAAGGTTTATTAAATTCAGAGAAATCCCCGGTGCTGGTAGGGATACTCTACATGTACTATGTCGTATACTGGAACACAAGCTTCTCCCTTACAGTTTAGGCGACGCAGAGGGCTCCTCAAACTCAACCACAAGTTTGCCAAACTGCTTGCCCGCTTCCATATCCTTGAAAAGCCCATCAATGCCCTCGAGATTCGTCAGGCCCTTGACCGTTCGACTAACAACAGGTCTAATCTTCTTCTCCCTCACGAAGGCAACCATATCCCTGAACTCCTCTCGCGATCCCATAGTCGTGCCCTTAAGCTCCACGTTCTTGAGGACAGCCTGCATCAGCCAATCCATCTGCGGCGACACCGTCATGCCATACTGGCTAATCAC